GACCTCTTTGACTTCTTTTGTTCACTAACATGTTGACACCCTCCATAGCATTTACTTGTCGTGGATTTTGAACCTGCTGTAGCTGTGCCTTTGCTAGCTGGTTCATTTTTGTTGTCAGTTCTGCTATTGCCTGCCCATGATCATGGAGCTTTTTGTGCAAGTGAGTGACTATGGGGTCACCCTGTGGCACATTGGCTCTACTTTGCCAAGCTAAGGATGTGTCAGCCATCTCATCAAGAATGTCACAAGCTTCATCATAAGGCAGCTTCATGAAATTACCCCCGGCAAGTTGGTTCACTATGTACTAATTTGTTGTGTTAATGCCCCAGTAGAATGTCTGTTGTATCATTGCCTCAGTCATATCATTGTTAGGACATTCCTTTACCATAGTTTGGTATCTCTCCCACATCTCATGTAATGGCTCGTTGGGCTCCTGCTTGAAAGCTAAGATCTCATCCCTCAAAGCTGTCATATGTCCTGACGAGAAAAACTTTGCAATGAATTTATCCGCTAACTCATCCCAAGTAGTGATAGAATGGTTGGGAAGCCTTTCAAGCTAGTCCAAAGCCTTCCCTCTAAGTGAGAAAGGGAATAATCTCAACCGAAGTGCATCCTCGGACACATTGGTTTGCTTGCTCCCCCAACAGGTATCCACGAAACCCTTGAGATGTTTATAAGCACTCTGATGGGGAGCACCCGTGAAATACCCTCATTGCTCCAACAAATTCAACATCGCATTTGTAATTTGAAAATTGCCCGCCCGGATCCGGGGTGGGACAATTGCACTAGCATATTCTTGGTTGGGAAGCACTCGAGGAGCCACTCTTGGAGGTGGAGGGGGAGGGTCTAGAACATTATCATTGGCCTGGAGGCCTCTCCTTTGTCTTTGCGGTACTATCGGAAACTCATCATCAATATTATCATCTACCTCCTCTCCCGGCGGAAGATCTCCAAGAGGTGCATTGTTGATGTTTGCCGCCATTTTGTACCTGAGTTTGCGACACACACAAATTAATAGCACAAAAGGAAAGAAAAACAATACACAAAACTATTTATATAGATAGCCAAAACCGTTAGCTCCCCGGCAACGGCGCTAAAAAGTGATCGATGCCAACCCTACACCACTACAAAGTGGCAAGAGCGGTCGAAGCAACTTTTACCCGAGATGGTCGGGATCGAATCCATAGGGAGCTAGAATTGGGAATTGGATTCCTATCTAAGCTAGAAATGCATAATGCTCTTAATTACACTTCCAATCATAATTGTTGTTTGTTACTTCTACTTTTATACTAAAGAGATACTAAATTAAACTAAGAATGATTGCTTGTAAGGTTTTCTAAATAATTAAAGAGGCACTAGGGAAGTGACTTTCTCCTAGGTGAATACTTGACGGGATCTAAAGTCTAAGGCAAAGTTGTTATGTTGGGGATTATGATATAGCTAATGCATGAAACTACTCACTCTATACCTCTCGGTATCTTGAGTGACTTTGCCCTAATTGACTTTCTCAAGACCAATTGGGTGTCTAAATTATGCAAGCAATATAGGCTCAAGCCATGTATTACTATCTCTAGATTTAACCCTTTAATTGGGGCTATCAACCTCTTGATTACACCCCAATTCCTTGTTGGACTGATTTTTCTAGACTCAAGCTCTCTTTCTCAAGAAGAACCCAAGTCAAATAGGCACAAATTAGTGTTTGCAACCACTAATTTAACATGGAAAATACAAATCAGTCCAAATATCAACTACTCATAAACATCTAAGCCTTAGAAAAAAAGACCCATCAATACCCATACTAGGGTTGAGCCACAACCATAGTTAATGGGTCTAGCTACTCATAATAATAGAAGAAAACAGAAAAATAGATGAAGAATAACCCATATGATTTGATTACAAACTAAGATAATGAAGATTCAATGTTAATCTAGCTACAAATTACTCAAAATGGAACTAAAACGCCGTTCACGTGCTCTGGACTCTAACAGACTACAAAAGATACTCTAAAAATGTGAAAAGAAAGTATTTATACTATGCCAAATTTTCTGGACAAAAATACCCCTGACAGAGGTATTGCGGTCCGCATAAAATGCACCACGAATCGCAATTAGGCTTTTTGTCTTGAATTGTCATTCTCTGAATCTGGCCACCGGAGGCCGTATAAAATGCACCGCGGTCGCGGTGGCTTCACTGCGGTCCGCACAAAATGCTCCGCGGACCGCACTGGCCTCAATCGCCCAAACTCCCAACTCTCTGAATCCCCTCTCCGCGGACCGCATAAAATTGATTGCGGCCGCGAAAAATCTTCCGCGGACCGCACTTCTTGAAGCTCCAAAAGTGCACCTTTATGAACTCCTCCACCGCGGACCGCACTAAAAGGTCTGCGGCAGCAGTGGGTCTATTGCGGTTGCAGTTGATTTTATGTTGTAGCAGTCCCTTGACTTGTTCTTGGTACTTGTGCATGTTTCACTCCTTTTTGAGCTGGTTTTGACTACTTGTCACTTTTTTTACCAGACCTTGCAAACAAGTACAACATGTAAGCCTTTGGGATTATTTGTATACATTTTTAATCAAAACTCAAGTAAAAAGGAGTGTAAAACGAACTAGAATCCCTAGTTATCAATGAGAAAAAATGATGATTTCCCAGAATCACTTCGTGATCGCATCAACATCTTTGCAACCACGAAGGGAAACATTCGCACCAGCAAAACCAACAGTCCAGAAGCTTAGAGAAATAGCTCGTAGCCCATCTGAAACACACCCGGGGCCCCACCGAAACATACCAACAAGTCCCGAAACACAACACGCACCTACTCGAGGCCTCAAATCATACATAACAACATCGAAACGATGAGTCATACCTCAAATCAAACTTAATGAATCTTTGAACTTTCAGTTTCCAAAACTCGCATCGAAACGTATCAAATCAACGCGGAATGAACTCAAATTTTTCACATAAGTTCCAAATGACATAATGAAACTATTCCAATTCCCAGAACTACAATCCGAACCCGATATCATCAAAGTCAACTCCCGATCAAACTTATGAACTTTCCAAACCTTCAAATTTCTAACTTTCGCCAATTAGTGCCGAATCCTTCTAGAAATATCCAAATACAAATCCGGGCATACGCCCGAGTCCAAAATCACCATCCGGGCCTAACGAAACTATCAAAACTCTATTCCGGGGTCAAATTCACAAAAGTCAAACTTGGTCAACTCTTCCAACTTAAAGCTTCAACAAGGAAATTAATTCTTCCAAATCGATTAGGAATAACCTGAAAACCAAAGCCGACGATTCCCATAAGTCATAATACATCATACAGAGCTACGCATGCTCGTAACTACCGAACAAAGTGCAAATGCTCAAAATGACCGGTCGGGTCGTTACATAATGGCTTATTGGTTTAACGGATGGGGAATATATTGAAATTTTATTATTAACGACTTATCAGTTTAGGGGAGGATTATTCAATTTTCTTAACGGATAAAAATCCTTTCCACACTTCCACTTCCAGTACTGGATCAGTATTACTCCATTTTAGAAACCCTAACATCTAAAATTCCTAATTTCCCTTAGATCTCATAAGCAACAACAACCTAGCCCTCTCGAGTCTCGCTCTCCCTCTCGCCGTCTTGCGTCGCCTCTCACAATCTCACTCTTAGACTCTCTACACTCTGAAGTCTAAAGGTTGAGGCAATACTATAGTCAACACAACAACAACAACAACAACTCAGCCGATGTCTCTCACCTCACATTCTCTTCTCAAATATTTCCTCGTTTCCTCCATACGTCACCTCTAATCTCAGAACTCCAATTACGGGCTTACGGCCATAGCCAAAGCAGCAGATGGTAAGTTTCTTTCTTCTTCTTTTCGAATCTTTACTTGATGGTCGAATCTTTAGTTATGCTATTGATAAAATAGACCAAATATATGTCAAAATGTGGGGAAATGTCAAAATTATTCTAGGGATTAAAAGAGGGATTTCGTGGTAGAAGAATGCCATTTTCCAAGTCATACTTTGTCTGGAAATAAATTTACTTTCTAATTCAATTTCGATTCAGTTCTAAATGAAAAATACTTCTTCGTCATAAAAAAGATTGTAGTTTCTTTATCATTTGTATTCATTCCTTTTCTTTTCTTGTTGAGGTGACACATAGCATGGCTGAAAATATACAAAATAATAAGGTGATGGGTAAAAGTGGGGCTTCTAATTCAAATGCAATAAGTCAAACTGAAACAACGGAGTCAAATATAACCAAAACAAGGAAAAAAATGTTTGTTCTGTGAGATCATTTTATAAAATTCATTATTTCCGAAGGGAGTAAAAAAAGAAAAATGTGACTATTTCTTTATTGAGTATTGTTTTAAGACCAAAGACGGTACATCGACACTTCTTTCTCATATGTTTAAGTGTCTTAAATGCCCTACAATTGTTGATAAAAATTAATCAAATTTAGGCTTTCAATCTGTTTCGGGGGGTAGTCAGGGTAACATAGTTGTTGTTACTTGGAAATTTTATCAGAAGAGTGTAGGAAGGCGTTATGTCGAATGGTAATAGTTGATGAGCTTCCTTTCAGCATTGTTGAGAAAGAAGGTTTTAGAGACTTTATGAAAGTGGCGCAACCTTATTTCTGTATCACTTCCCGTAGTACTGTAACTAGAGATTGTTTTGATATTTTTAATGAAGAAAAGCAAAAGTTGAAGAGGTCATTTATAGAAACAAAACAAAGAGTAAGTATTTGCACTGATACCTGGACTTTTATACAAAGAATCAATTACATGTGTATCATTGCCCATTGGATTGATAGTGAATGGAATATGCATAAAAGAATAATTAATTTTTGTCCTATTGTTAGTCATAAAGGCAAAGATATGGAAACTGGTATTAGTAGGTGCTTACGTGAGTAGGGGATAAATAAGATCGTCACTGTCACATTTGATAATGCAAGCTCAAATGATATGACAGTAAAAGAATTGTCTAAGCAATTAACAGAAATGGGAAATAATTTGATGAACGGTATTCACCTTCACGTGAGATGTATGGCTCACATCATGAATCTTGTGGTCCAGGATGGTATAAAAGAATCTTCAGTGTTGATTGAACGTGTTAGGCATGCAGTGAGATATGTTAGGCAATCTCCTGCGAGGTTGAAGAGGTTTCAAGAATGTTTTGATGATGAACAACACAATTGTAAAAAAAACTTTATGCTTGGATATTCCAACTAGGTGGAATTCCACCGACTTGATATTGCGTAGGGCAGTTGAATTTGAAAGTGCATTTTTACATTATGCTTCTAGTGAAATTGGCCTGAGATATTATCTTGAGCATTCTTATATTGAAGTTGGAAAACCTACAGGTGAACTTTTGAATAGTGATTGGGAGAATGTAAAAAAAATTATAAAGTTTCTTGAAATCTTCTATCTTCTTACTTTGAAATATCTGGATCACGTTATGTTACATCGAATATTTATTTTCTTGAAATTTGTGCGGTTGTTGTTTATTTGAAGCAATTGATAGCAAATGAAGATACAGTTTTTAGTGAAATGGCAAAGAAGATGAAAGAAAAGTTTGATAAGTATTGGGGTGATCCAGGGAAAATGAACAAGATAATTTTTATTTCATGTATTTTGGATCCACGTTACAAGCTCGAATCAGTTGGCTATGCACTTGTAAAGATGTTTGGTAAAGATATGGGGGCAACTATACAAGCAGAAGTGAAGAAGTACATGACTTCATTATTTAGTGAGTATGTAAAGTCCAGCTCAAAAGGTGTCGTGCTTGCTTTATCTTCAGATTGTTCTTCATTGGACACTTCTGCTTCCGGGCTTTCTGGCAGTCAAGTAAGCACCCAAAATACAAGACTTTTAGATTCACTCATGCAAGATATAAAAAAATATAAACCGGGAGTGGAGGTTTGGATACTAGAATAAAGTTAGATAAATATTTTGGTGAAGAAACTGAGGATGACACTAAAGAATTTGATGTTCTTCTCTGGTGGAAATTGAACTCAGCTAGATTTCCTGTTCTTGCGGAGATGGCTCGTGTTGTATTAGTTGTTCCGGTTTCATATGTGGCATCCGAATGTACGTTTAGTACGGGAGGACGTCTTCTTGATTCATTTAGGAGTTCATTAACTCCTAAATTGGTGCAAGCTCTAGTGTGTCTTAAAGATTGGCTTCGAAATAAAAAATTAAAATAACCTATTAGTGTTGAGGAAGATCTTGATAAAATCGAGCATCTTGAACAAGGTAATAATATTGTTACTCTATTTTTTTGTATATAAGTGTTGTGGATATGCTTATATTTATCTCACAACTCATTATTTTAATTTTTTTCTTCAGATTTATCTAGCGATGGAAAAGACCCTTCTATAATTGACGTGTAGTATTAATATATCTAGTAAGAATTCGAATTATAATACAGTGTTAATAAATCTATTAATATATTTATTGCATGACTCATGTGTGTTAGTGCTTGTTGTCTATTGTTGTTCCTTCTGTTGGTCAAAAACATAAGCTTGGCATGAGCTTATCTATCTCTTTTGTGCAACTGAACAACTTTCTTTTCCGCATTGAATTAATTTTTTTTCCTATCAATGAATTATTGACTTGGAAACCTCGTCTGACATGATTGGTACTGCCTAAGTTGCAAGAGTAAAATGAGATAAATTGTCAAAAATGCAGATTTTTATGTGAAGGTAGAATATTCGATGATTGGACTCACAACCAGTTTGCCTATGAAAATGAGATTCTTGGGCAGGCTGTTGATATAGACACAACGGTAGGAAGGACAAAATAACTTCCTCCCAAAATGGTGGTACTTGTTCTAAAGCTATTGATGAAAGGATATCAAACCAAACATCATTAAAAATGTCTAAATCTGTTGTTGCATCAGGTAAAGGTAAAGGTAGAATATTCGATGACTGAATCTGCTGCTCCTCAACTCATTCCTCCTCTCATCTTTGCAAGTTGTTTGAACTTTGAAGCTGCAGAAATTGAAGTATTGTAAACTGCAACAATTGGATTTTGGACGTCTTCAATTGTTCTAGATTTTACGTCTAAATTTCCATTTTATCTCTAGTTGTATTCTGGACTCATTTTGACAGATGTAATTGTCATGGTAGGAGGTGTTAACTATTATGTTAGCTGAAGAATGTATTGAAGATAGTAACAAGCAGTGGCTTGTGTTTTACGACCATTGAAGGTAACAGTGAAAAATGATGGGAGTACATGCAAAGTAAACTGGCTTTTTACTGGTATTTACATGTAACAGTGTAACATGAAGGACCAAAATAGTCCACTGTAATACAGATTCAGCTAGGCCGATAAACCGCTCGATAATAGCTAAACCGATACCAATCCGCCCGATATTTTATCCGGTGACTAATGAATTAACACATTTAACAGCCGATAACCGATAAGCCGAACCATTAAGAGTAAATAATTGTCCAATCCGCCCGATAAACAGCCCTAGTCCCCCTTTCTTTTCCTAGTTCCTCCTAGAAATAAGAGTGCTGAATTGATCGGTTGCAAAAAACCACGTGTCAGCTAGACATGCATATATGCGGTCAGCTATACGTCACTTTAGCTCCGGAGAAAATCCAATCACTTTCTGCAATTTTTCTTTTTTCTTTTCATTTCATTGGGTGAAATTTCAGTGCGCGCCAGCTTTTTTCGATGCTACCACTAATTACTTTTAAAAAAACAAATAAGAAACTAAACTGCCCGCCCGCGAATAAATAAAAGCCCCTCCAATCTGGGCAGCTTTCTTCTCCGCTGCCCGATCTTTCTCCCAATCTCTCCCCTTGCCACCCTTTTTCCTTCTCTTCGCGTAAAAAGCCAACAAAGAATCGTTTTTTTTTTCTTCAAAATTTTCCATATATCTAAAGACAATGAGTCTTTTTGGCCTTGGAAGGTAAATTTAATCATCTCTTTTGATATGATTGTGAGTTGTTTTTTTTCTGAATTGATGCTGACTGCTGAGTTATATGCTTTCATGATCTCTGATCAATTTTCAACGAATTTATTGATCTGGAGTTTTTTTTTGTCAGGTTGGTTATTGTTCATATTTGCCGAATGATGATTTATTGGTTTTAGACTTTTAGCGTTTTAAGCTGTTTTTTTTCTGTTTATTTATTCTTTGAATGCTGAGGATTAAAAGATTCTTAATTTATTCGGCTATTTTTGTGTAAACTGTTTGTGCTTTTCAGAAGATTGTAATTTGTTAGGAGCTAAAGTTCTTAGGCTTCCTCCTTTCTATCTGGCTAATTGATAATACTTAACATTATTATGCTTTAAGTTTCACTTGCTTAAGAGGCGGATTCAGAATTTGTCGTTTATGAGTTCCTACGGAGATATCAAGTTAATATATACAGTGATAACTGAGTTCACCTTCAAATATTAATGGATAGTTAGTGGATTTTAATACATATACAGTGTTTGAGCAAAAGCTATTGGTTTCATGTGATAGCTTACAAACTAGGTCCATCACTCACTTGCTTTGGTTGGAAATCCAGGGTGTTTAGTTATTAGTATTTCAATATCAAATATTATTGGTAGTCACGTACCCTTTTTAATTGGAGATGAACTTGCCTATTACAAAGGTTGTTTACTTAAAGTGGCTAACCCAGAAATTTCAATAAGGGGAGTCAAGAAAATTGAACCTGTGACATAAAGCAAATTCGGAACTACCTTTACTGCTACAATGAAAATTTTCTGGGGATTCAAAAGTTTACACTGTATGATTTTTCAACAAAGGGGATTCAGTTGAACCCACTTCATTGGTTGTGGCTCCATCATTGTTTATAGATGGATCAATATAGTTTTTATTTAAAAAGATGATTCAGGGGATTGGACGTTCTGCTGTGTATAAAGAAGGAACTCTGCCTTTACTTTTAGAAATTATCTCCCTTTTTTAACCATAGAGAATTTCACATGCCGTAGAAAAAATGGAGAGATTCTTCTCTTTCTCTGTGCTCCTCCTGGTTTTATCTTTAACAGACAACTACTCAAAGTTGTAGTGACTGGGTAAATAAAAAACGATAACACGTTACTTATCAAGTTCTTGTTTCTTAAGGCTTCAACTCGATGAAGATAACTGTTATTCATGTCTCAAATATAAATTATAGCTTTTGACGGGTGAGTACCACATTATTTCTCATATTTACTAGTCCGTTTGACCTTCTTGTAGGTTATTGCTTATTTTACGTTGTGTTTCTTGTCATTCAAACTTTGCTATCCCTTTCGGCGGCATGGGTATATAGCCTTATTCATCTAACGCCTTGTTTGCTATTGGTTTATAGGAACCAGAGAACATTCCGGCCCAAAAAGAGTGCACCCTCAGGGAGTAAGGTTATGCTCATTCCTAGTTTAAAGAAGAAATTCTGTTGTTTTCTTCTTGTTCTTTTTGGTAATATGTTAAGTGTTTGGCTGCACCATGCTGATGTTGATACCACCAATTCCCAAAACTTGTCAAACAAAAGACATCTTCAAGTTTAAAGGGATCCTACATTTTTATAATCCGAACGCTCTTAGATTTCTATTTTTCTCGTGCTAATTACAAGCTCGTCACTAGTTGAATTTTAATGAAAAAACTATGTATTTAGTTGCATATTGTATGCTTGTAATTATTATCTTGTTGAACATGGTAAACCCCAACCCCTAAACCCCAGGGTCATTGGAGACTTTTCACATTCGCACCTTTAGTGACTGATCCCCAAACTCATTGTCGGAGATGGAGACTCTTTTTCACTAGACTATCCTTCCCTTGTCATGCATTCTATAATGTGTTCAGCAAGACTGTACTTAAGTTCGCTTCTTTCCACTTTCAAGTACTATCACGCAAAAAAAATATCCGGATGAGAACGAATTAATGATTCAAATGATTTGGCATAAAACTTGTTTGGCACTCTTGGAGGCTCATTCAGTTTCAAATTATGGCTTGTTAAATTTCATTCAACTTCAAATTTTGGCTTGTTAAATTTTATATAGTAGGCTAGTTCTACGAATTAAAGTATCTCGTGCTTAGTTTAGATCCTTGGGCATGAAGTTGTTCCTTTTTCTTTTAGTCGTCTTGCTAGTTTATCATTCTTCCAATGTATCTTTATTTTGATTTGAAATTGATCTATATTTTTTACCCTTGAATGGGTCATCTTTCTTGCTTAGCCCACCATTTTCTCTGTTGCAGGGGGCACAGTTAAGAAAGCACATTGATGCCACATTAGGCAGCGGAAACTTGAGAGAAGCTGTAAGGCTTCCTCCAGGGGAAGATATTAATGAATGGCTAGCTGTCAACAGTATGTTCTTTCTCTCTTTCCTCCTGTCTTCTCATACATAATGACGGACGTCCACTGGAACATTAGCATTACCTATACTTCTGCTGTTTGTGATAACTGGAACATGTGATTGCTGTACTCACTAGTTTAATTGAAGTGCAGAGTAAGAATCTCGCGACTTTTAATCTCCAAAATCTTGACTTCTGGAACCAGACTTCATTCTGTNTCTCTATTTCTTTGGGTTGTCCCAAAAACATATCCAATTTTTGGAAATTATATTCTTTTTCTCAATATATTATAATACCTTTTCAGTATATAAATCCGAAAGAGGTGACATGTAACTTACTTTCATACTGATAGAAGTTCACATTCGCCAAAACATTAAATGTGAGGACATCAAATCAAGTCAAAAGTCTGGTAGAATGTACTATATTCTCACATTGCGGATAGAATCTGCACAGCAGCTATAATGCCGCTTTACATGTGAATGCTGAGAATGGAATGCTGCATATATTACATCCTGTTTGCTTACTTGTTGCTGTAAGCTGATCAAATTTAATTAAATGGTGGTTGTTTACTTTTCAATATCCAGCTGTTGATTTCTTCAACCAGGTGAATCTTCTTTATGGCACCCTCACTGAGTTCTGTACGCCAGAAAACTGCCCTACAATGACTGCAGGCCCCAAGTATGTTTCATAAATAAGCTGCTTCCAGCTTACTTACATTATACACATTATTTGAGATGCAATTTAGTCTTTCCTTGGGGATAAAAGAGTCGCTGCAATTATCCCTGGTTAAGGGGAGTTGATTCTTTCATACTGTTTCGACGATGGGAAAAATATAATCAAGAAAAGACTCCCCTAACGAAGAATATTAAGAGTTCATGATATCAATTCATTAATTGCCATTTATTGAGTTTCTTCTTTATATTCCCTGAGCTTATCTCAAAGGATTAGAATTATATCGGTCTTTGTCTGCTTGGTATTTGCAGTTCCAGGAAATGTCTTGAATGTTACAATGGAGCAGAGTTTACCATGGAACTAATAAGAGGAATAAATAAGTGATTGTTTAATGTGTTTAGGTATGAGTATAGGTGGGCTGATGGTGTACAGATTAAGAAGCCTATTGAAGTTTCAGCCCCAAAATATGTTGAATATTTGATGGATTGGATTGAAACTCAATTGGATGATGAATCTATATTTCCCCAAAGGCTTGGTAAGTGCTTATTACAGCTTCCTGACTAGCATTTCCTGTCATTTTGGAGATGTAAACAATACTCCTCTATCCCAACTTATATGATCGACTTTTATTTTGGAACGTCTAAATTGCTTCGCACTCTTCACTGTTCTAAGAATTCTGCTTATGATCTCAAGCTTGAAATTTCCTATTTCTTTTTAAGATTTTGTTTGACATTGTATTATGTTCCCTAGAACTATTCTACAACTACTGCTAATATGCAAGTCATGTTAGCTTCTTATCTCCATAAAATGGAGGGAGGAAGCAATCTTGAGCGAACTGAAAACTTTCCTCTTGTGAGCCAAGAGGGTTGAAGGCCGAATGTGCAAGAGTAGGTGGCTTGGCGTGGGGTGGGGATTCCTAGCTAACTGATATCAATTGCTTTCTTAATTCAGACAATACTATGTTACCTTTCTCATTGTTGACAGGGCTATTTTTTTGTAGGTGCACCTTTTCCTCCGAACTTCAAGGATGTTGTCAAGACAATATTCAAACGCCTCTTTCGTGTATATGCACATATTTATCACTCTCATTTTCAGAAGATAGTGAGCCTTAAGGAGGAAGCCCATTTGAATACGTGTTTCAAGCATTTCATACTCTTCACCCATGTGAGTTATTAAATTGTAGAACTTGAATACATTTTTTTTCTTGTTTGTGCATGTTACTAGTTTTCTTTCTTCCGACGCTTTAGA